AACCGCGTCCCAAACGCCTCTTCCCGAAGGAGATGCCGGAGGAGAGGACGGCCGCCTCGCCTCCAGCCTAGCTTTCTCTTCTCATTCAGGCAGGAAGCGGGTGATGGTGTGCACGAGGCAAGATGGCTTCCTGCCCGGAAGCAGCCCCAAGATGCTGTTTCCTGCAGACTATTTTCCTGAAGAGGGGATAGGAAAGGAACTCTTCCCTGAGGAAACACTGGCGAGGCCATCCTGGTGACCCCTCGTTACCGAAACGGGCTCGCTCGCTCGCTCTCTCCCCCCCCCACACACCCCACTCCTACTCCAGCCTCTAGTGGGGCAGAGGGGGGCTGTGCCCCTTGGAGATTGCAGCGCTCACTGAGGGCAAGACCCTCAGGGAAGAGTGAGTCCTGCAGAGACTGCAAGCCGAGAGAAGTCTGCTGGGGCGGGGAAGAGGAGGAATTACGCCCACCAAGCTCTCTAGCCTCACCTACTTTGATTTCAGGAAAAGTCTTTTAATGATAGCAAAGTACCAGCTTGTAACTCCGTATTTTTCATTTCAGAAAGGACCTGGGCAGCTGTGGAAGCACCAGGGGTTGGCACGGAAGGGGGTCTCCCTTTCCACCTTGTGGGAGGGGGTGAGAACTGTCTTTACAGGCAGAGATCAAGTCCAGGCATGGGCAGAAACCATACTCATGACCTATGGCGGGACATCGTTGAGGGACCTACTAGTCTGACTACATATTTCAGTGGCCTTCAGACTCTGTCAACCGTGGTGTCCTTCTGGACCATCTGTGAGGGTTGGGAGCAGAGGAACCATCATTAGTAGTTCTGCTCCTTCTGAGTGGGCCATTATGGTCAGTGGATCTGGGGGAGGAGAGGGGAAGCTTTGGGGCATTCAAATATGGGGTGCTCCAAGGCCCAATCCTTTCCCCTATTCTATTTAAAATCTACATGAACCTGCTGGGGAGGTCCTGGAGCAGCTGAGAACACCAGTGCTACCCACTTGGCCATCTCTCCCTGGACCAGTGGAAGTCTTGCACGGTGCCTGGAGGCTGTAAGAGTCTGGATGGGAGAAATGAGTTGAAGCTTAACCCAAGCAGCACGGAGTAGCTATCGGTTGAGAACTGGACTGAATCCAGGACGTTACCAACGTGAGCTCTGGATGGGTAGACCACTGAAGACTACTCAGAAACTGCAACTAGTGCCAAGTGCAGTGAGCCATATTGACCAGGACACCCCACTATTGTCATGGAACATCAATGCCGCAGGAACTGCCCTGGCTGCCTGTTGGTTCCCTGGACAAGCCTACATGGCCGGAGACCTAACAACAGGCGAAGCTAGAAAGAGGGAGGGAGGCTGGCAGGCAGGCAGCGAATTGCTGCTGCTAGTTTAGCATCCTCTCCGATGTTAGCGTGGCCAGGATTGCCACCAGCTCCTGCCCCTGGAAAGTGCTACGTCAGGAAGAGGAAAGTCCGCCTCACCTGCCTCGTGTCCACTGTATGAAAGACCTCACAGCCCAACTCAAAGCCCCCCCCTCCGGTTCCAAGACAGAGACGTGCCTGAGCCTCGTCCAGCCTGCCCTGCCACCTTCCTGCTTAGCTTTTCAGCTCCTGCTGTGGCCTCTGAGGGAGCCACCTGGGCAGGAGCGAAGGGCAGGCCTCAGGAAAGCAGAAGGGCGCCTCTTGCTTGGCCCGAGGGCCCTCAAAGCACACCCGCCCTAACCCTCCCAAACAACAGCTTGAGGGGATTTGGTTCCCGATCAAGGAAAAAAGGACAAAGATCCGGGCAGGTTTGTCACATTGTTTAATGTTAATCAAAGCAGAAGACGCCTGATCCCAAACTCTTCTGCTTGTTAGTTTGCTACAGGCGTGTGATGCTCCCTCCTCCTCCTCCTCCTCCTCCTCCTCCTCCATGCCAGTGACAGGCCTGCTTCCCCACAGTGCACCCCCAGCCCCCTCAGGACAGAAGAGCATGCCAGAGCTCTGCCGCCTCTTCCCAATGCCCCTGGCAAGACAGCCTTGGCGTGGCCGAGGGACTTATGACCACGAGCAATGCAGTAATGCAGCAAGGCTTCGCAGGTTGGGGTTGGGGTAGGCACCACACTCAACCAGGCCTGCTGGAGGGAGGATAAGCTTTTTAAGTGCCAATAGGAAAAATGACCTTCGTGGTCAAGATGGAGTGACCAATGGTGGCCCCCGAGCCGTGGGTGGCTAACGATGCCCTGTGCCTACGATTCCCCACCCATCAGCCCAGGGGCCCTAGTGCAAAGAACTCAGCCTGGAGCTGCCCTCATCAGCAACTGACAGGGGCCCAGGCTGCCCCCTCACCTGCAGGAAGAACTCTGCTCATGGGCAGAACTCCAAAAGGATCAAGCCTGTGGGCACAGCTCCTTCTGTAGGCAGAGGAACTTGGCAGGTCTTGGTCCGTAGCGCACATGGAAAGGAGTGTGCAAAAGACAGGCCCCTGGCCCCTGCTGCCGCAATCCCCCCCGCCCCCCAAGGCTAAGACAAAAGGCCTCTGAAGACCAGCTGCCTCCCACAGCAGGAGCGAGGCCCATGTTCCCCAGGATTGGGTGGGCAGCCTTCTTCCAGGAGGGGATGCTTGGTCTTGGAGGAGATGACCAAGTTCCCCTGAGGCTATCGCAAGCCAGGCAAAGAAGGAACGTGGGAATACTTGAAATAAATAGTACTCATCTGGGTCCCTGCGAAAGGCACGAGATCGTCCTGCCCACCAGACACACCATGCAAGGGATGATTAAATTAACCACAGGCCTAAAATACAGATTTTAAAATCAAATAACCAAGTGACTACTGGAAAATTGTACAGCGTAACCTTTAGAGCGAGTTTCCCTTCCTGGTTTGGCTCCAGCAGGACCCCCCGCTTCAATAAATGTAGAGGCGGTCGGAAATGGCAGCAGGCATGTGGGTCATGACCTGCATGCGCAGCCACCAGTAGTAGTCCATGGGGTGGTAACGGGTGTAGGGCGTGGTGGAGCTGAGGGCGTGGCCGATGCTCTCGATGACGGGAGAGGTGTCTGAGTCGCCACTGTCGCAGTACGACTCCATCTTCGCAATCTGCTCATCGAAGTACTTCCGCCCGTAGTCACGGCGAACGATTTCGGGCAGCTCATCCCACATCTTGTCGGCAATGGCCTTGATGCGCTCGGGGCTGTAGAGGCTGGTGCCGGCAATGAAGTTCCCTGGCTCCACGATGCAGACCTTCACGTCATGCGGGCGCATCTCATAGCGCAGGCAGTCAGAGAACGCCTCCACCCCAAACTTGGTGATGCAGTACGGGGAACGGGCAGGGTTGGCCATCCGGCCCATCATGCTGCTGATGTTGACGACGCGGCCTGCCAGGGTGAAGACATGGTGGGGAAGGAGCCCCACAGCTGCAGGCTGCCTTGGACGCAGCCGCCATCCATGGCAAAAATTAAGGCAGCCCAGCCCTGCTCAGAGGACACAGCCCTGCTGGGGCTGGAAGAAGAAAGCCCCCGCCATCCCTTCTTCCACGACCATCTCCTCTTCCGTCTGTTTGCAGCCCACCCCTCCCTCTGGCCACCCTTCACAGGGTGGAGGAGACCCATTGAGGGTCAACAGACTGAACCCATACTCACCTTTGGCTCTCCGAATAAGGGGCAGGAAGGCCTTGGTGGTCCGGATGGTTCCCCACAGGTTCACTTCTGCCACCTCTTTGTAGGTGTCCATGCTAGTGAATTCCACCTCCCCAAAGGTGGAGATCCCAGCATTGTTGACCAGTCCCCAGACCCCTGGAGAGTCAAGCAAAAGCAGCAGTCATCTTAACTGTCCACTGTCAACATTACTACCTGAAAAGATGTTTCTGCAGACACGCAGAATTCCTACCAAATTTCAGTAAACCCATCCTCAACTAAAGAATCAAGAGGCCCAGCCCTAGAGATGATGACTGGTCTCTCTCTATGAAAAGAAGGAACTTCTGCCCCGTCTCCAATCCTTTGTTTTTTAGGGAAGGTTCTTCCAGGTCTCCCGAACAGTTGAAGGAGCCTGGGATAAAGTGGATTATCTGGATCCTATTTGGGTGGGGTTCAGACCCAGCGGAAGCTGCGTTGGTTGCTCCTGCATCGGATGAAACCTGGGGATTGGAGGGAGGGAGAAGGACAGCTGTCCAAGACCATTTGGCTCTCAATGGCAACTGGAAGCCATTGGCCAGGCTTTCTCCTGGGCCTAGGACAGCCTGGTGTTGGAGGCCCTCTCCTGCAGTGGTTCCACTTCTTCCTGAGGAGAGGGTTCCCAACAGTAATGACACTGCTGAATAGCTTCTCCCCCGTGTTATTCAGCTTCTATAAAAAGTCATCACCCAGGGAGGCCATCGGCCAGTTTGGAGGGCAAAATTATCACCGCCAGCCACAGCACCATCCCGCAGGGCTAGAAGCCACAGGGGAGACCCAGGAAGTGGCCCCATACTCCTTGTCTTTCTCCCTTCCTGCCCAAAGCTCTGCCCAGAGCATGGGGCAAGGAGGCCGAGGGAGCTGACCGACATCTAGAGATCCAAAGACCCAACATGAGATCTGGGGAAGCATCAGGCCGCTAGCTCCCCGGAAGGAGCGGGTACACAGCCGGGGGGGGTTCCTGGGTTCACGGCTCCAAGCAGAGCAGCAGGCAGAGATGGGGTCACGGGTGCCTTGCCCAAGACACACCAGCAGCAGTCTTCGGGGGCTCACGCCCGTACCACTTCTGGACCAGACTACAGTTATTACAAGACGCTCTTCTTGGAACTCGCAGAAACTGCAAGTGGTGCAAAACGCAGCAGCTTGTGCGCTGATTGGGAAGGAAAAACTCGTTTAGCAGGATGACGCCTACGCTGCAGGTGCCATATTGCTTGCATAAGGTTTCTGGTACTACACAGACACTTTCAGGAAAGGCTCCTCCAGACGGATTTGGCCCGTCCCGCTGATTCGGCCTGGGAAGGGACGCCGAGGTTATCCTGGCCTCTGGGTCGAGGGGAGCAGGAGCTGGAAGCCACCCCGCCCTCTGAAATGCACTCCCGAGATCTGGATTTCCCCACACTTGTTATCCTGGGGCAAGCAGTGAAGGACTCTGAGAGGAACTCTTGGATTTCATAGCATTTTAAAATATCAGCGTTATTGACTCAGTTGATGTTAAGGTTGTCTTTATGTCGAATTTATTTTAATTTTTTTATGTTATTTATTACTGTGTGCCAATAAGAGTTAAATAAGTTGCTGGTATATAAGTCCTGGAAATAATTAGATTAAAAAAAAAGAAAATCCATCAAAATACCAATCAGTCTGATGTTAATAGCTAGAAAGATTGTAGAGGAAGATCGACCTCTAAATTGTGCAGAAGTCAGCACAGATCTGTCTAGAATACATCTTATTAGACTAGTTTTATCTAATTTTCTGATTGGTTAATTTCCTTAATAGATTGCAGGAATGCTGCAGACACAGTATATTCTGACTTCAGCAAAACATTTGATAAAATTCCTAATGACATGCTGATTAGGAAGTGCAGCCGTGAAACAGAAAAAATGTTTTCTTTTGAGCCAAGAACAAACCACTGAATTCCAGAGACTCCACAAGCGTTCCAGGTCAGGCAAAACCAGGCCACTCGCACTTTGTTGTGGCTTTTGAACAAAACCAAACCTGGGCAGGACGAGTAGAGAAAGACTGGTGAACGTCACCCCCTGTGCTGATCTCCCCTCAGGAGGTCCCAGCAGGGCTCCTCCCCAATTTCCACCCTCAGCCCCCCAAGCCCACTGGTGTCCACCCTGCGCAGCCACTTCTGCCCAGGACCTCTGGCACTCCCTGCTGATTAGCCAGCCCCTGAAGGATGGGCTGGCCAGCTTCTGACGTGATTCCTCCAGCAACGGGCGCAGGGTCAAGGGGGCGGCGCAAGGATCCGAGCTGGGTCCTCTGATCTCCAATATTTCGCTAGCAGCTCAGAAGCAGTGCCCCAGCGGGCCCAGGCAGCAGCGGCAGCTCAGCCAGACACGGGAGGACCAGGCCGGACGGGCTGATGGGTTGGGCCATGCCGGGGGACCCTGAACAGAGGGGCAAACGTGCCCCAACCTTCTTCTACTCACCCCGTGACATCGCTACAGGTTTAATGTTAGCCAAAGTCAGAGTAACATAAAAGCATTCTGGGCTTATGATGCAACAGCGTTGAGCAGAACATTCAGAAGACGAGGGTTTGTCTGGGGTTTAAAGCCACGCACATTTTCCATTTTGTGTACAGCCTTAATTCAAAGAAAAGCGCATTTCCAACACTTCGCTGCAGTACATGTGGCAGCCAGCGAGGTTTGCTTATTCTTTGGCACACAAGGGTTGCGAGTCAGAAGCAGCTGGACTGGTCTTTGGCCACATTTCTCCCTCTGCTTCAAGCTAGACCCTGAGGCTCCCTGAGGCTCAGGGCCACCCCTGGTTCTTGGAAGGGAGCTATGGGCCTGCAGGGCCCAGGGCCGCAGAGAGAAACGGAATGCAGCCTTTTCTAGTGATCGTGAAGGCTACTGAGCCTAACGAACAAGGTGATGAACACTTGGTCCAGCTGAAAGCCCAGGCGCGTGAGAACCCAAGCGTGTTAGGCTGTACTAAAACAGTCATGTGCCGAAGACCAGGAGGAAGTCATAGGATGACTGATGGATAAAAGTAACGAAAGTCAGCCAGGACTTTCAAAAACCACCCGCAAGCAGCGAGACCCCTAGATTGTCTGCTAAACTGCAACCATATTCTATGACAAGACCGAGGAAAACCAGCCGGCCAGAATCCAACATTTTGGACTGTGAAATAGGAGGCCGAAAGCTCTGTGCATCTGGGTGCACGTAGGGCATAAAACCTTCTCTAATCTATAGCTTGCTAGTTTATTTGCTGCTTTCTGCAGGTACTTCTCTCACCATCCTTTCTATCTGCAGAAATCATTCTGGAATCAAGGAGCCACGACGTAACTTTTGGTAACTACCTAATTACTAATTTTGGACAACCTTCCTGCTTACATCAGACGGTGACTAATCAGGTGCGCTGGAACTGAGGAATGAACTAAAGGGGCGGCTGTATTCAGGCTGTGGTTCAGGGCACCAGCGCACCTGTTGGCCTCTCGTCTTCCGCGGCGATCATGCCCACCAGATAGGGGCGGGGAAAGGCTACCCCGTTTCCTTCTCCAGCAAAGGCCCTCCCAACCCCCTCTCCCACACGAGGCGTGCTCTCGGCCCCCAGGCCGTCCTCTTTCACCTACCGGTCTCCGAGTCCTCGAGGGTGTTTGTCACGTAGTCCACCGCACGCGCCACCTCCTCGCTGTCACAGACGTTGAGCTGGACGGTCCTCATTCGGTCACTCTTCATGTTGTCTAGGTCCTTGGAGCCTCCCCGGCCTTGCTCCTGGCGAAGGGAACAAATAGCAGGAGAAGCAGGGTGCCTCTGCTCCTTCAGCCCTTCCACGGGCCACCCTACAACCGAAGACAGCCGTGTCTCTCAGCCCACCCCTCCTGCCCCTTAGAGCGCCCCCACCGGAAGGGTGCCACGCAACCACGAAGGGCCCATCTCTGTGGGGCTTCAGCCTGCAACGCCCCATCAGCAGGACGCAGAAGCTCACCCCAAACCCCTTCCCCAGCCTCTCTGATCCCAGCCATTTCTCCATCCCCTTTTGGAAAAGGGCTTCCCGTGTCTTTTTCCGTGACCATGAGACGCAAGTTGGGGGATGGAGAATTTATTCTTTACTGCTCTGAAGTCTCACGTGCCACGGCTGCAGTCAAGAAACACTCCTCCTGGGGCCCGTCGGAGGAATCCAGGGCTTCCCACCACCCTGGGCTCGGGAACGTAAACCGAGCTGTGCTCTCCGGCCACGGCCAGCAGAGGGCGCACAGGGCTGGGACTGGGAGCGAAACCCACTCCCCTGGGTGAGGCGGGGCCAGAGCGGGCCTGGCGCGGGGAGGGCCAGAGCCGCCTGCTTGGCTCCCGCTGGCTCCAGGGAGAATGAGGCAGCTTCACAGAGCTGGAGGGCCGGGAGGCCGGAGTAGCCCAGTCCTCGCTCCAGATGAGGATCACACACCCCCAGCGAAGGGGAGCCTGCTCGCTCAGGGGCTGCTGCCGCCCCCCTGCCCCCCCCACCACGAGGCAAATCTTCCTGGCTGAAACCAAGCTTAAGTCTGTCACTCTGCAACTTGCACCCTGGAATGAGGGTGGACAAGTGCTGGCTCTTTTCTGTGTGACATCATTGGGGGGGGTATTTTCCCTGTCCCACTGCTTTTTCTCAAAGAAGCCTAAAGCCGTATTTGCTTTTTTTGCAACCAGATCATCTATAATTTCAGTATTCGTGCATCAGATTTCTGCTTCCTAAGTAAGGAAATCTGCGTGTGTTAAACTTTACTCCCTTTGGCCCCTTTCCACAAGCTGTTGAGATGATTTCGAATTTTATTTTTAGAGGGTATTAACTATCCCTTCAATAGGATGTCATCTGCGGCTACGATAAACATTCCCTTCCCCCGTCATTCACAGAAATGATTAACCACGTATGTAGCCTGTCCCATCCGCAGGGACCACGGGAAGCAGGAACGCAATTCAAAAGGCACAAGGAGATGGCGAGACCCAAACCCTGCTCAGAGCCCAAGGCACGCAGCACCACCGTCCGGCTAACTCCCCTGGCCACCGCGAGGAGGGCGGGGCCTCGAGCAGGCCTGCCGCCTGGCCCTCCCCCGTGTGTCTCGCCAGGAGGGGGACTCTCAGCAGGCCCCCTCTAGGCGTCTGTTTTGGCAGAACCGCTGCAGCCCAAGGGGTCCTGGTGCTGGTGCCCAGTCACTATTTCCTGGGGGATCTAGCATGGCGGGGAGCCTTGGAGCAGATGAGACCTCCTCTGATCCTTGAGGGGACAGATCGCTTCCTTGTGAGGGCTGGCTTAACTGGAGCCACCAGCCTCCATAAGGGAGGAGACGTCTGATGGACCCAGGAGGCTTTTAGACAGCTCTGGGAACCCAGAGGCAACGGAGCCGCTTGGCAGACTTCTCTGGCGCAACGCCTCCAGCCTGCCGAACCCAGCCAGCTCCTGGGTCTTCTCAGGAGGTTGGGGAGCGAAGCAGGTCAGGAGACTCCTGAAGCAATGCCAGTAGAAACAAGGATAAGAGCAGAGATAAGAGCAGAAGAGCAATTGCTTCTTGGCCCTTACTGCATCTGTGCAATGTCAGCCAGATGTGCCATTCAGAGAGTCCTAAATCCTTTCGGGAGGGGAGGGGAGGGGAGGGGAGGGAAAAATCAATGGCCGTAAACTGAGGCTGTACCCCCTCAACTAGCCTCTCCTTCGCCACATCTGACCTTACCTTCAGTAGGCAACCAGCATAGATGATGAACCCTTTCTCGTGGAGGAATTTGGCCAAGGCAAAGCCAAAGCCTGAGTCGCAGCCCGTGATGAGGACAGGTCGCCGGTTGACCTGAAGAAGGCACAGAAGAGCGGGTGCTGAACCCCGGGGGGAGTTTTCTCAACAGGACACAGGAGCCTCTGCTGTGGAGCACCTTACCTGCTCCTCCCCTCCACTTCTCCCCAGGTTCAGCACAGCCAAAGACATTCAACCAACTCATCTAAGGGGAGTGTTCTTCTCTAGGGTCCTCTGCCTTCCTGGGCCCCTGCCCCCACTCAGTCGCACAGATACCGGCCTTAGGCACTTTGTGGAGTAAGAGTTAGGGGAGCGTCCCAACCCTCTGAGGGAACCCCCCTGAGGTTGGTGAGGTCTCAAGGCCTTGGAACATGGCCCTCGAGAAGGAACAGCTAGAAGCTAAAGGCCTCTAGCTTCACAATGCAGCCATAGCGCACTGAACCTTGGCAGGGGGCCCACACACAGACGTAGCAAGCCAGGACCACCAGCCCCTGCAAAGAATGAGGAGGCCCACCATGGGCACGTGGCATTCCTCTGTCGCGCCTGCATTTGAAGGCTGCCCCCTTGAGAGGCTGGTGAATGATCCCGCTCTCACCTCTTCTACTTCTGTTGCGTAGCTGCGCTGGCTCCCCCAGGTGGAGGCAGTGACCTGGAACTCAGGAAGCAGGCTGCAAGAGAGAGGGCACAGCTGCCACGTGGGCACAGAAAGGGGGGACCTTTGGGGAACATGCTGGGTCAGGCCTTCTGGGGCCCCAGGAGTCAACGGGATGCATTTCTACTTGCTTCTGTTGAAATGGATTTGCTCACGGGGAGCTCCTCCAGACCTGACTCTCCTGAACAGCCAACATGGCCACCTCCAAGACCTTGACCTCCAAGTTCAAAAGCAGCAGCCCAACCCCTATCCCAGAGGATCCTAGTCTTCGCAGGGTGAGAGTGGCCCAGGCATGCCTCTTCCTCCTGACTTCTAACCAGCAACCAGTCTCCGAGAGCGCCCCTCTTTCGGGGAAGACTGTCAGAGGCTCTTAGAAAGCCCAGATGTGCGGTGTGTCTGGTGGGTCACCCTCCCTTGTCCTCACGCCTGTTGTCAACTTGATCAGGCCCAGAAGGCTCAGGGGACGAGACTTCCTTGAAGGAGCCCCACTGCTTCCTCTTCAGCAAGGCCATTTTGTTCAGGCCAGAAGAAAGCTTGGGCTGTTTGCTCTACAAGTTCCCTTCTTGCCCCTCCGCCCCTTTTTAAAAACTGGGCACAGGCTGGCTGCTTTTCCTTCCTTGGGCACAGAAGCCAAGAAGTTCTGTATATTTGAGAGAAGATCAACAATTCCATATTTAAGTGATTTCCTTGGCGGAGACCAGTCAGACCCGGGAGTTTGGATTTTGTTTGCCAGCCTGGCTTATAGCCTCATCCCTCTCATTCCCCTATTTGTCTCAGGGCTCACACAGCAGGCCCCCTGATCAGCTTCAATGGGGGTCCCCGCAACTTCTCTCCTGGGCCCCAGGAGCAGCAGCACCCCAAGGCAAAGCACCTCAGAGGGGTCCTTGTGCCAGGGGAGCTGCAGTCTGGGGAGCCAGCACCAAGCAAGGGCAGCTTGGAGAGCAACTGGGAGGGATCTGGGGCAGGGCATCTTGGGGCATTGAGAAAACAGGCGTTTCCAACCCAGTGCCCATGTTGGCAGGTGCTGCACTCCCTCAATGGTCCCAGTCAAGGGACACAGCTAGCCATGGTGGCTTCTGGGGTGTGTGTGAAGGCCTCTGAACCCTAGGAAGCTTCTCAGCACCCTTAGGGCCAGGGCTCTGGCTGAATTCCCAGGGCTCAGTCCATCTGCCAAAGGCTGCTTGGGTGAATGGGGGAGGGAGAAGCAAGGGCAGCCCCCAGCGGCTTCGGGGCGCACAAAAGGGCCTCTTGGCCAAAGCCCTTCCTCCCTTTGCTGATTTCTATTCTCACCCCCCAAACTTGCAAGAAGTGCGGCCATGAAGGCTCTGTTGACTTGGGGGCTTGCTTGGGGTCAGTGGCTGGGGGAATACAGCACCTGGCTACTGGATCAACCCCCTCAACTGGCCACAAACAACCCATCTGAGGCTAGACCTCATGAGGACTTGCAGTGCGGTTTACGGTCAGCGTGACCTCTACCAGGATCCTGGCGCTCAGAGAGAGAAGAGCCGCCAAGACTTCCCAAGGCTGCTGCCTTTTGGGGCCTCTTGAGAACCAGCAAGAGGGTGCTGAGCATTCCATGAATTCAGCATCTGCCCCACCCATTTTGGGCTGGGCCCTTGCCCTTTACTCTCTCTCTCTCTCTCAATGGAGGGTTTCACAAGGATCCTTAGTGATAGCTGGTCCACGGATGGGAGGGGGCTCAGGTGAACACAGCCCCCTTTGGTGTTATCTAGAGGGACTTTGGAGGTCCTTTCGGACTCTGGCCTGCAGCGCTGTTGGAGGCCAAAAAGCACTTAAGAGGTTCACGGAGGGGCTGATTCTGCTCACTTGGATCCCCCTCCCCCCACAACCTCTGGGGCTGCAGCGGCAGCAGCCTCTTTCTGTTCTTTAGAAGCAAGCTCTGAGGTCTTATGAGACGCAAACTGAACCACCTGCGGGAGCATTAAAGGCCTTCGAGCGAGTAATTGGTTTGGAGAGCACAGAACCGGGGCCTGCAGTCCGACACCCTGGTCTCTGTACTTACCGCAGGCTGGTGGCAGCGCCATCCCTGCAGGGTGGAGCTCTCAAGGCCAGCCGGGCAAGAGGCTGGGCGATGCGGGTGGTGGCCAAGACAATTGCCATGAGGGGCGTCTTTGCTGCTGCTGCTGCCGCCGCTGCCGCCTCTGGACTCTGCAAACGGGAGAGGAGCAGCTGTGTTTTATCTGCTCCTGGCTTTTATGGCCTTGTTGACAGCTTGAACCTAAAGTAGGTCCGGCGGAGGCTCCCCCCGCCAGAGGCAGCACGACCCTACCTAGCGACTCGCTGCCCACACGCGGGCCGCCTCCGCGCAACGCAGGCCAGATACGTTTGCAACACCTGCTAACCTTGATCTGGCCCCTTTGCTGCTCAGTGGGCTGTGCGGAGGGCCAGCGCGGTCCTCGGTTAGGGCTTCGGGCTACAAACCGGGACGGGAGGCCCGGTCCTGCCTGAGGCCCAAAGCCAGCTGGGTGACCTTGGCCGGCCAATCGCTCTCCCTCAGCCCTAGGAAGGAGGCCGCCCCGGGAAAACTGCAGGGGCCTGTCCGGGCCGTCTCCGAGAGTCGGACGCGGCCGCACGGGCCGACAGCAAAGCCGGGGGGCTCCGCTGACGCGCCGCACGGTCTGAATTCAGAAAGCCGGCGGGCAGGTGGGGGGATTCGGCTGCGGGGCTGCTCGGAGGCGCTCTCCGCCGCCGCGCGCCAGGGCCGGCGCTCAGCCGTTGCGCCCGCGCTCCGCCGGCACTCCGCAGGGGGT